AGGGCATGATACTACATGTCTATGCCTAATCTTTAATGGGTGCTCCTCAATTTTTAATTCTCTAAACTCAAACCACGTTTAATTAAAAAAATAAAAACTGACAGTTCTAATTCGCAAAGTATTGAAATGCATATAATAAATGACATGGGATTGACGCATTTGGTAGTGTCTAATGGAACTGTGATAAAAAGTATCCCATTATATGTGTATGAGACTAATGAAACCCATAAATACGTGAAACTTTTATGTGATCCACCTTTCATGCATATAACCTTATTGATAGACAAGATGGATGTTTCGCAACATGAGAGACTATATAATCGAATTTAGGAGCACATTCAGACTATTTAAAAAAAAAAGATAAGAGGGAAGCTATTAGCATTTCAAAAAAAATATCTGGCAAAATTTTCCTCCATTATTAGCGAAGGTTGTATGTTAAAAAAACAAATTTTGATTCAGTTTCGATGATCATAATACGGGTATAAAATAATATATTCTACGTGTCATGAATCCCTTTACCACTAGTATTGTAGACTAGAATTGTCTTGCCAAGATGAATAATATGATAAGAGAAACCAAAGTTATTTGACTTTCTAGACTCAACTATACCTCGAAATAGTTGAACAACATATGATAGATTCACTAAAGTAGGATATCTAAAAGCACACAAATTTTTAAACTGAATCATAAATCTATCAATTTCCCCTCCTTATAAATATAGACGGTAATACTTTATAACAAGACGATATATAGCATCAATATCGATGCTTATTGAGATTTAACAATATAAAACCTTCGAGAACAAATAAAACACAAAATAAATTTAATAATTCAATCTCGATACAAATTGCTAGCGAACATACTAGACCTTTTATCATGCAATAATTGGACACAAATTGCAATTACAATAATCCAAATTTGTTTAGCTTTAGTCTAAACTTGAAAACCTGATAAAAACAAATCAAATAGTAAAATAAAAGTGAAAAACAGAAGGTGATCCTTGAACTCCTGTCCGCTCAATGATAAGTTGGAGATTACAACACAACACGAAAAGAATTTCATGTTCTGTTTGTAAAAATACGTATTGTTATCGATTTTTCCAAAATTCCCAGGGGCCGCAGTTTCTGCACTAGCTCCACCGCCAATCGAATCCATCTTCACAACACTCGTCGGGCATGAAATTCCCAAGGGGATCACGGCCTATGCACTGGCTCCACCGCTGATCGAATTCATCTTCTCAACAATCCACGGTCATGAAATTCCCTAGGGGCTACAGACTTTGGCTCCGCCACTGATCGAATTCATCTTCTCAACAATCCACGACCATGAGATTAGCAGGGGCCGAAGTTCATGGCTTCTGAACAATTGACGGAACAATCATCTTCCCTCTTCCAACACATTGAACCTCGTCGTCGCCCTGATCGAATTCCACCCTAGGCTCGTAAATCCTGAGGTTTAGGATCTCTTATCTCCCGGAGCTCGGGCTGCGCAACCGCAGCGGCAAATTCACTTGCCGCCGCAACAGACTCACATCCAAGTGAAATCCTCCTCCTCCCGGCAAGCTTCTTAACCCCACCGCCGCCCCCAATAAAATCCACCCTAGTCTCGTAAATCCTCACCAACTGAACGATGGCCTTTCACGACGGCTTTGATTCATTGATAATCAAATTTTAATGGAAACAATTTTGAGCAATTATATAAACTTGGGGTGTTGAAGAATATAAATCTACGAAATGAGGTATCATACGAGAAAACATAATGATATATATTATTGAGGGGCTTTATTGTATGTATTATTATTATTTATAGGGTGAAGTTTGTAATCAAAATTCTTATTAAATAAATACATTTAATACAATTAATATTAGCCGTTTGATTATATCAACGATATGAAAATCTGGTGCATGCTGGACCATACGAGTCGTATCCAAAAATGTATCCAATTTCAGTTTTCAAACATATTTCACTCAAATACTTTTATATAACAATGAATGACTCCCTAAATTTCGCTTAGTTTTCAATGAAAGATGAGATGCCGTTAATTGATTTATGAGCTCAAATATACCTCCATACTACTAAAGCTACAATCATTGTGATCTTTAGTTGTTCACTCACCTCTGATCCTCTGCCAATGTTTACAGGTTCATATTTTGCTATGAAATTTAGATAAAGAAACTTTAAATCTCACACATTTAAAAGTAGGAGATGGAAAGTATGTAAATAAGTGATTGCAAATTTACTATTTTGAAACCCAAAACTGAAGGAATTTAGATCAACTCATTTCGCAGTAAATTAAAAAGTCTTATGGGAAAGGGATACTTTAGCATTGGATGTGGTGGTGAATGAACAACTAATGTCAAACGTGGCCTAAAAAATTCCCTCCACTATGAATTGCAAAAAAATATCCTTCCCAAACCCAATTTATTACCAGTCAAATCATATTTGGTAATATCACCTGAAGGTCATACCAATAAACAACTATTTTGTTTGAGTATAAATTAGACCTATTGCATTGGCTACCAAAAAAAAAAGAATATCAACTCTAATGTAATTTTTGTAATTTTTTTTTGCATAACAAATATAAATGTGGAAACACCGATAATGAATGTGTGAATTGGTTTAATGCAAATAGCTAGATTGTCGATATTTCTTTATAGGTGTAATTATATGGAATCAAATAGATTCAAATTGTAGGTTCGACCTAAATAAATTTTTTTATGCTCTAGCTCTCTCTCATTCTATAATTAATAAATTAAAATAATCCGACCAACGGACCCGGTCAAAGCTAGTTCGTTAAGTGTATGCAATTCAGCTGCATTTCCTTAGTCCCAGTTGTAAACATGTTCCTGCATCATTAGAGACGTACACATGGTACTGAACGGATGTATCATCCTCAGTCTTCTGATGGTGATGCCTTTCATTCTCAGTATCATTTGAGTCATTCTTGCATAGTTGTATAACAATTCGTCCCAAGAATATGTCATATGTTAAAAACCCCACCCTTGACGTAATTATCTACTAAATTAAGAAATTAACCTTAATTAAATACTTATCACTAATTAACAAAATCACATACAACCAACATGTCATTGCAGAATTGGGATTCAGGTCACTCATTTCAACACAATGAATTCGTCACAGTAGATTGACTATTGTATCCATATGTTTGAGATTCTTACTGTATGATTCAAAGGCAATCTCGCATCAAGCACGGGAATTGCGGTCCCTTCAAACAATTATTGTGTCGCTTTTCCACCTTTACAAGTCGCCTATACGTATAAAAAGACACCATTTTCAACACTACAGCCGGAGCTTATGAGTTATGAGTACTCACTAGTCACCACAACCCAAAGAGACGAAAACCTTAACATGCGACAGTGCGATTAGGGTACATCGAGTGCGCGTCGATATTATGGGTTGGGGGGGGGGGGGGGTTCGATGGTGCCGCTTTCGCTTGGTTCGACAGTGGATTAGAGTTCGCCAGTGTCGTCTGGAACTAGGAGAGGGGTGCAATGATTGAGGTGGCTATTCACCGTTCGGATGATGTATGACTGCCTTTTTGAAGCTAAAACGAATATGGAGGAGTGGATCCGGGAGACAAGCTAAACTAGATAGAGGGGTGGATCGGCAGATGGGTGGGGTCGTCGATTGAGTGTTGCTGTCAATCTGGAGTAATGGTGGAGGGGTTTCACCAGGAAAAGGAAGAGAATAGATTGGGTAAGAGTACATCGAAATGGAAAAGTAACACTTGATAAATTTGTAAAGCTACTTTTGATCTTTTTTTTATATTATTGAGTTAATTGATAATGTGGTATTTGTAGTATCAAATAACTCATTTTTTTCAAATGTGGTATTTCTATGTTATTTTGAGAAAATTGAAGTTGAAAGAAACATATTCCACCTGACATGCCAAGTGGACAAAAAAAGGCCACATCACAAGCAAACGTTTGTCCAGTCAACAATCGTGACAATACCGTTAATTATATAGACAGAATGTGGCTATTATTCTCACAAGGTGGATAATTATGGTTATTGAGGCTTATTTTGTCTTCAAAATATCTTCCCAGCGTGAACGAGATCATGACCCAAGTTGTTGTGCCGCTGATTTTCAATCTAGAGCTCACAAATTCGAGTTTTCGGAACAACGGCTCATTTCCACCCCTCTCCTCTTTGTAGCAACAAAAAAAAAATCTGACCAAGCTCCCTGTACTGTGTGGTCTTTTATGGGCCTCTATTAGCACAAATGTAAAAAAAAAATATTGTGGTCACATTTTATGCGCCTCGCCGTACTCTACCCAACAAGGCAACTACGGAAAGCTTCTAACTGGATAGAAGACCAGACAGTCTCCTAAAGCCCATGCCTTATTAAGTATGGGCCGAATAAGGAAAACGGGAAGCTTGCGACTCGAAAGAACTCCCACCTCTGACCCGACTTGATTTGTCACCAGACCGCGGCGTCTAAACCCCTAAGCTAAGCGCCATTCTTTTCCGAGCTTCCCCTCCTTCTTCCTCCCTCAAAAGTAAAATCCCATCTCCGACCCACTAGCTGATTCTAACGCCACGAAGTAGAAGAAACAAGGCACAAAAATGGTGAGCAAACCATGGAGGATAATCCCGCGGCCATTGCTGGAAACAATCCTGAACAACCACGCTCAGCACCACCGAGTTCAGCAGCCTCTCATCCTCCACGGCCCTCGCGGCGTTAGCAAAACCACCCTCATCATTGACAGTGAGAAACTCCGTCGAATTCGACCCCTCCATTTTTTGGCTAATTCCGGAGCAAACTGATGATGATTCCAATTTTTGTTGCGTTCCTTTTGCAGGTCTCCTGAACGATTGGAACAAAGGTGCCCACATCACCGGTTACGTTGATTTCGCAGAATCAGTGAAGGATCATCACCCGAAAGCACGACAATTCTTTTCTGTGGGGTTCGTGGTCAACCTGCACGCCGCCGGTTCTCGCTGATTGCGCGACCCAATTGGAGAGTTGCCTTGACTCCATGGCCCAAAGGGCGATTCGGCTTGGCAGCATTTCCTCCACTCAAATCTTCTCCACTTTCAGCAAATGGCATCGTCCCGACACTGCTCTTCGCCGGATTATAGTCCAGAACAGCCACGGCCTTGCTTCTAAATCGAAAAATGCGGTTTCTGAAAAGGCTTCTGGGTATGTTCTATGGGATCGTGTGTTATGCGCGCTAAGTGCTCGATCAAATGCCAGAGTGATGGATAAATTATTGAACTTGGGAGAGAAGGGTAAGAGGAAGTTGTCTGTTGATGAAGCTTCTTACTATAGGGAAGCCTTGGTTGCGCTGAGATTGGCCAAGGAGGTCATTAGAGCGATTCAGACTTCGAGAGGTAATGCCATTGCCCATTTGAATCGGACTGGTGGGTTCTCTCGGTCTCTGGCGAATTCGTCCACGGATTGGCCTTGTTTGTTGCTTGAGCTGATGTCGCAGGCTGCTGAGATTGATTACTTTCAGGTAACTGTGGATTTGGGAACCTATGTTGTTTATTGAATTGATTTTGTATGATGGGTTTGTGTATTGATTTGTTCTTTGTTTTGCAGCCGAAGCTGGTAATAAACAAAATTGAAGTACTGAAAAATGCATTGTTAACTTATGACAAGATGGTGTCTGGATCAATGTACCATGACAGTCTGATATGGAGAATCATTGCGCTGGTTGCCAATGAGAAGTGTCTTCCCGTTATGCTTGTGACTTCTGATAGGTCGGTTTCTTTGTTTATTAACCTATGCCCAACCTAACTGATAAAGTAAAACTGGTTTGACATGTATGTTTGTTGCTTACTGGCTTTATAATTCTAATAGAAGACTTGTTCCTGCAGCTACTATTCTTACAGGGCCTTCATGGATTTTGGTTTTCCGGATATCTTTATCTCCCGAGAGGTACTGAAGTTGCTGCTGCACTTATTCAATTTGTTAGTCTGCTGGAGAACATCAATTAGTTTTGCGACTGATCTGGTTACTGCAATGAGGGCTTTAGGGTGAATAATTTTTTTGGCAGATCCAACTCCAAATTGTAGTTCACTTATTTCATGTAGAGATTGACTCTTGTGACTTATTTGCTATCAATTTCCCCAACCACTACCCAAATGAAACCACTCAATGATTTGAATTTCCTTGGATATAACCTTTTTGGTTAATTTTGTTTTAAAAACATTCCAACATATTCAGTACTGTTCTTGTGCATGTGTATGAGAATTAATTTTGGTTAACTGAGCCACATGTTAAGGTATGTATCTTGTGGGATTCAGGTCATTACGTTGCTAATGTGAAATTTGATTTCTCTCCAGTCCTTTGGATGGACTCCAAGGGAGGCTGAACTGCACATGGTTGCTGACTACTTCAGTCAATCAGAGGTATTAGTTATAATTCAAACACAATTTCTTCATCCCTATTTCTTTATTTCAAGACAGAAAGTCATAAGTTATCCTTAGGAAGATCAGAATTGGAGTCTAAATCTCCTTCTTGAAAGTATTGGATGAACTTTCGCCATCCTATTCATCAACTGGTGCTAATATCATTTGGTTACACTAATTGGTGAACCTTATTAACCTGCAGTGGAAGTTGATAGTTGAAGTGCTTGGACCAAGCCCTAGGCATCTGTTTGAACTTTATGCACTCAAGCAAAGCATCTATTACCAGAAGTAAGAATATCCTTTGTCTTCATAAATTTCCTGTCATTCATTGTGGTTAGATAAGGAAACTTGTTCCTTTTTTCTATTGTTTTCGTCACTGATGAAATTTGTTCAGTTTGAATGTTAATGATACCAGGAATATCTTAGGCAGTCTTTTCGCAATCTTTAAGGGTCATCAAATTTTACGAAATTCATCTTTGTTTTTTAGATTTACCAACTATTAGTTCCAAAAGGAAAGTAATAGAAAAGATCTCTTGACGATGATACAGTTTTTCTTATCGCTTCTTATGTGGATTTTATTGTAGGGTACTGGAGGACAAGGATAGCACATTTGAGGATGTCATCGATGCATATTTAGCTTATCTGCAGGTGAGTCTTTTTTCTTTCTTCCTTGTAGCTTGTTTTTTTTTTCTTCAAATCCTAATTTGTAACCCCGTTTCACTTTGAATGACACTCATGTTATCTTTTTCCTCTGGTTAGATAATTGTTGTAAATCCTGCGATGGATAAAGCCATTGTGATCCTAGAGAAGTTTGCTGAGGATGCAAGAATGGGCAAGATTCCAAAAGATAGACTGCGCTTTGGTTCTCCTTGGAGGCATCCTCCAAAGGATGATCCTATTCGGTCCTCCAAGTGGGCCAAGCTCCAACTCATGGATTCTATTCAGACTCTAGCGAACACTGAATTTGGGGTATAATGCTTTTCTCACATTCTGGGCTCATTTTCACGTTCTTCTTTATAGCAGGGTTTATTTTCTTATGTCTGGTGGACTAGTCTCATTGGTGATTTTTGCTTATTAATAACTAATAGAAATGAAGTACACAAATCTTGCTTAGTTGGTTGGTGCTCAACATCGTGAACTGCCACCATCTACCAGTTTTATTTCTAGGTACAAGTGTCCCTTTTCTAGAAACTTTATTCCAGTTTACTCTTGCAGATTAGTTATCTAGCTGACTGTAGCTTGGAGATTCTGGATGATCCATGCACAGGCGCATTGATCGAGGTTGGTTTACTATACGCTCAACGTGATCCATCCTTCATTCGATCCATATATAAAGGAATTCAACGGTGTCTAGCGAGATGGTAAGTTGGGAAGGCTGTTTATTCTCTCAGGATTTCTTCAGTTGGATAAGTTTTTGCTAAAATGGTTACGTGCAACTTACGATGCAACTTTGCAGGCTTGTGAAGGAGAAGATGCAAATGGATTACGGGTCTTCGTTCCAATTTTTGTGGCAACGGTTCATACGTGGTCGGAGCTATCGTCATCTGATGCTAGAAGTTGGTTATAGTAAATTTTTAATCCTGGGTATGTTGTGTCTAAATTTTTAATAGACTTTTCAAGATTAGTGATATTAACAAGCATTATATCTCTATTATCCAAGGGGATAATCAAACTCTTCTAGCCCGGTGGTTCGAAGGCAACGTCGTAACCTCGAGATGTTGGGTTCGGGTCTTGATGGACACCTTAAAATTGTAATTCTAGTTATTGTCTAACTAGTTTAGGGTGATATTAATGATAACCGTTTTTAAAACAGGACATGGTGACTTGCGATGGTTGAAGTTAAAATGAGTTGCTTAAATTAGCCACATTGTGGTGAGATACTGGTGTGAAGTGCCAATTACACCACAAAAGATCATCCGAGGGTCAATCCCAGAGAGCGTATTGATGGCTGATATAACTCGTACATAAAACGTGTCCATGGCAGTTGGCAAGCTCCTAATATAAGGAGGCCAGATTTTGGAGCTGTTGGTGAAACTCCCAAGCCCCAATTTTGAAGGAGGAGATCTTGATTTCTGTAAGTTCTGCTTGCATTTTATGTAGATGTGCTTACTCTTCTGACTTTTCATGTAATGAACTGGATTGTGAATGACTTCCACTGGAATCTCCCTGATCAGAGAAATCTTTCCTGTAGACTGCTTAGCATCAACTTCTTGTCGTGGAATAACATGAAGACTTAGCTTTCCGACTTCAAACTCTGTTGATTCTTTGAATATATCAAAGGTATATTCAATCACTGTCTTCCATGAATTGATCGTAGATCTTCCATTTGAATCATTGTTCATAGGTTTAATAGTAGTCAAAAGTTTTTTAGCGAGTACCTGGAATGGGGAGACATATGTTCCCACTTAAACGTACTTCCATAATGTTGTATTGTGCTCGGAATTAGGAAAGAAAGATCCATACTCTTCACATCCTGATTAACATAGTAATCATATACTAAATGCAGAGCTTTTCCCCATTCGCTTTCCCTTTTGCTATTCTTGACTTTTTCTATTCCAATTCATGAGTGAATTAGCTGCTTCTGGCCTGGAACATCCCAAAGTATGAAAGCAAGCTTCGTTAACAGTGATCTTAAACTGCCTAGTTGTTATGATCTTGTGGGGCCTAAATTTTGACTTTATAGAGCAGTGACACCATGCAATGGATCCAAGAAGATGTACTGTTTGCCCATGTTGCTTCCATGATTGTATGTGGTGGCCTAATCAATCATTGCATGGCCCAGAATACCCAGAAGCTTGACTGACTGCCTATACAAAATTATCTGAACAAACCAAATTGGTAGTGGAAGTTTAAGTTCAGTCAGAGAGTTCATTTCTCAGCAATGAAATATTGAAAATTGAAAAGTACATGGTCCACGGTCTCATATCATTTGAGAAGGAAAAGGAGTCACTTTCTATGCATTTGGCTATTATCCTAATATGGGGATGATCAAACGGATGGTGATGCTGTTAGATTGCATTCGCGTGTAATATGCTTATTGTCAGATTGTTCTTGTAAAGCAATGCCATCTCACTCGAGTCGATAGCTGGTAATGTGTGGAAGGTAATCTAAGAAGATCAATGCTTATTAAACGCTTCCGCATCAGTGTCAGCAATCAGCTGGCAGTACTGCAATTTTCCTTCTTTTCTTTTGTTTATGATTAGGAAGATTTGTGAATGATTGGAATATAGCTGGGGTGTTTGTTATTTCCGAAATGGAGGAGCTGCATGATCTTGGTGAAGATTTGCAATTATCCAGCCGGAAGTTGTGGCTTTTTCAGAAGAGTGATTTTTGGCTGTCCTTTTGTCCCCTTTCTTCCTATTGTCTTCTTCTCTAGAATCCCCACAACCACAAGCAGCAAACTGCAAACCATGTCTCACCCACTAGGCCAGCGCTAGACTTTGATTTGAATTTGGCGCTTCTTTTTCTGCGACCACATATAACTTGAAAGCAGTAAAACATTTGAATTTGGCGCCATGCGGATCTTCCTTGGCAAGTCCAATAATGTTTTTTTTTACTTCTTTGTCTACACAAAAGGAAGCCTAGGGAGTGTTGCATCTTGCTGTCAACACTCAATTGTTGTTCCCCTAGTTAGTAGTTAGTATTCTGTAAAATCATACCGAATTGGTGGTTTGGTGGGAATAAATTTATATTGGAGTCTAAATTGATAGCGGATTTAACCATACGAAACGATTGTACAATAGTTAAGCTACAATTCTAAAATATAATACTCTAACATTGACTTTTTTAATATAACCTCCATTATGATTATACAATCATGACTTTGATTATAGAGAGTTGCATCTCTCTCAATGTAGGTACTTAATTCTTTAGCCAATTAGAATGGAACCCACTTTCTACAAATTAGAAGAAGAGTGGAACCAATTCATATTCTGTCCTATCCAAAACTAGTTTAGGTATGCAATTCTAAATTATAATTTCCTTGTGAGATGAGATTTGACCTATATACGTGTTTTTTTAGATGTTGGTGTACACTAAGAATAATTGATCACCATCAAAGCCTAAGTTGTCAACTCTCTCCAACCTAAATGATCACCATCCATCATGAAAAGGAAGCAAAGCATCCAGATCAAATCATCTATCTAATCAATTTAGTTCCTATATCATAAATTCATAACATTTTATTACAAACCAACCAACCTTTTAACTAGGCAATCGCAGTAGCAAATTAGGACTTGGAGCCGGGCAATTAGTCCACATTTTAATGTTTTCTCATGATGTAAATATACATATTATATCGTTAGATAAAAAGTTGGAAATGAGATGTAAGTTGTAACTCCTTCCGAACTACATGTAACTCCATTAGTAGACAGTGATCATGAGCATAATCGAGTTATACTATAATAGTTAAAAAGACTATATTCGAATTCGCGTAACTCCTTTTTATTTATCTCCTCTCTCACTTTAATTTGTATTATTCTCACACATATCAAGGGTTATCATCCAATAACAACGCACTTATCATTCTCTGGTACCTAATGGATCCCAAATAGCTAACTAAGTAGGAAGCTTTGTAGGTACAATGTTCTACCTAATGCTTTCAAACTGCTGAACCATCTCAACCATAAAAGAATGAAAAACAAAACAAAACAAAAGGTCCCACGCGCCTTCATTTTTCATTATTTTCATGTTTGTAAAAGAGAAAAAGCACTCAAAGTGAGGAATAATTTTTCACTTTCACCTTCCACCTTTTCCAGTAGGTTATCATTATCACGCTAATCAAATAATTGAATCCAATGCAACATTCTTTCCATAAATTTCGGAGTAAGAGTTGAACCAGTCATTGCATTAAGCAAAGATGACAAACAAGCCCCTTTGTACCAAGGATTGAAAAATGTACCATATCGACGGTTCAATAAGAAAAACATTCTAACGTAGACGGTATATGGGGATATGAAACGGTTGAACCATGATTCAGCATAAAACATCTTATTGCTGAGATTTTCCGGTACAACCTCTAATACGGTTTTACAATCCTTGATTCACACAAATTTCTTGGATGAATGCATCAATGTACTACCACTTTTTAGCTTTCTTCAGGATTTGGCCTAAACTGTTCGACAGATTCCCACAAGTTAGCAACAAACTGCATTTCACGAGTATGTTGAATCAACATTAAGTTGTGAATTCGTAAAATTCCATACCATCTACTATTCAACCAAAAGTTTATGAAAAACTTATCTATGATCATGTAAAGTAACAGAAATAAATGAAAATGATTTGAGTTTATGATGAACAAGTTGATCCTAGATCAACGTCTTTCTTTTACGTAAAGATAAAGAGGGATGTGACGAGATTCGTTTGTTACTAACTCGTAGCGGTATAAGAGTTATGTTCAAGAAAAATTATGAAGGGACTTGATTGGCTATTTACAGAAGAAAAAGATAATAAAAAAAACAAAAAAGATATAATAATAATATAAAACTGAAGTTCCCTTCTTTCATTATTCCCATTTGGCTCCTTCCAATTTGCCACTTGCCACTCGCTCACTCCCTCTCTTCTCTTCTCGCTCTGCCGCCCGTCCTTCACACAAGAAACAAAAATATAGCATTTGCTTCCGTTTGCATCTCCATTATCTCCTAATATAACCACCACAAATTTCGCAAGCCTCCGTCGCCGGCAACTAGGAAGAACGCAGGTTCGGCCCTTTTCCCCAATTTATGGCAGGGTGGAAGAATCTGAAGCGGCGGTTGACTTTCAGGGGCTTGAGCGGCTGCTGTGGTGGCGCCGCCGCCGCCTGGGCCATCGCCGGCCCGGGGGTCATAATCTCTGACCCCGAAGAACAAGGAGGGGAAGAAGGAGAAGAAGAAGAAACCACCGGCGGCGGCGACGAGCGGGAGGACGTGCCGATGATGCCCATCACGCTCCGGCAGCTAATCGGGGCGAGGCCGAGCGGGATGAACCTGGCGATGGCGCTGGCCGAGGAGCGGAATTTGCGGGGCCCCAACGGCGGGGATTCCAAGACGCTGATGAGGCTGATCGAGGAAACGGACGGCTCTGATTGGCGGATGACCAAGCGGAGGAGAGAGGATGAGCCTCTGGAAGGAGTACTGGCAACGGACAAGAAGAAGGAGGAGGAGGGCGGGGATTCGCTGTGCTGCGTGTGCATGGAGAGGGATAAGGGCGCCGCGTTTATCCCCTGCGGCCATACCTTCTGTAGGGTTTGTTCGAGGGATCTGTGGGCTCATAGAGGGTGTTGTCCCGTTTGCAACCGTCCGATCTTGGAGATCCTTGATATCTTCTGATGGGCTACTGCACACCTAATTATCTCCTCCCTCACATTGTTACTACTTGTTACTTGTTAGTTCCCTCCTCCCAAAAACATTTGACTTTTGCTTTCCTTGTAATTCTTGTTTGTACTTTGTAGTGATTTTTCTTGTAATTCCCAAGTTGTTATTAGTATATAAAAAGTGAGTTGCTTGGTCATGGAGAAATGATGTGACAATTAATGCATGACAAGAATTTTCCTCTTGCTAGACTATTTGGTTGGGCGAACACTGAACAGTAGTGATGGTAGTTTCCGCTTGATTCATTCGACGATATGATATGTTTTACATCTGACTCGGTAATTGAATAGAAATTTTGAGTTATTTCTACATCGTTAGATTCTTATCCATTTTGTCTTGTACTAGACTGAGCGAGCGCCTCCTTTATTGTAGTATTTTTTTTCAAGAAAACTGACGCTAAAAGCGTCATTAACAATCCGATTCATGGTGACTCCCATGATATCATAATTAATCCAGTACATAGTTCGAGGTCTCTCACATTGATGAGATGTGAGCCAAAAGAAACATCGTGAACCTTTTTCGCAAGAAAATCAGCCGCACAATTGCCTTCCCTATAAGTATAAACATGGGAGATACAAACTTGAGCCATATCTAACATGAGACACATGGTATTACATATGAACACTGAGAGTCCATCTGTGAGTAAGGATAATGTGTTGTCGATAATAGTGACTGACCTCTGGTCACGAGTCATCGCACGAAATGGTAACTGATTGACTATGAAATGACCTCACTCTCATGAGTAAGGATCGAACTCCCGATCTTGTAATTAAAGAACGAGACGACAACCACCACGAAAATAAAGTTTCTTCACGAAAGCTTAGTTATATCCCCATATCCCCTTTAGCTTAGGGATAGCAAAAATATCCATAACCGTGGATATCCGCCCGAATCCGACCTAATCGGGTAGGGTAAAACCCGAACTCAAAGGACATTTAGTGGGTATGGGTACAACCCAAACCCGAATATTGTGGGTATTGGGTGGGCATAGTTTTCTCACTATCCAACCCGAACCCGCCCGATTATACACATTGTGTTTTGTGTACTAATAATCAATATTTTTCTCAAACATATTTTATATTTAGCATATAAATATAATATTTTTATGAAATTGCGGTATTTTAATTAATTTTCTTCATTCTAGTTAATTATTGTCGTACTTTTCGTCTTACGTAACGTGAGAGTACATGTGAATATTAACATATTGGTTGGAGCTATAAAGAGAAACTATTACTCATGGATAACCGTGGATACCCGAAACCTGAACGAGTATGAGCACGGTTTGAATTTTCTACTCGTTTCTCATGTGGGTATGGGTAAAAGCCGAACTACTTTGGATAGGGTAACGTATATGCACTATCCGTCCCCGGCCTGATCCATTGCCATCCTGCTCTAGCTTGGGTTGTGTTTCTTATTTTTGACCCAACTCATGGGCTAATATTCATTGGAGCCCGAGAGCAAAACAGACTTTGTAGGGTAGTGACTTGTCGAACCATGGGCCGTAGCCCAATAGCGAAATACGCATGATTTCAATGGCCGAGGTAAAGCTTCGTGCTCCGATCCAATCTACCTTAACTAACATCGCCGGTAAGAAGAGGCATAGGGGATATTCGGTCCTATCTAGATTTTGTTTAATGGTGAGCCCATGGAGGCTTTTAAGGTCAATGACATTTCTGCCAAAGATGATCTATCATCATCCTACGTATTCACATGTTCCACCTTTTTATTATGATCTTGCTCAACCATTGCTAATGATCCCATAATCTTTAGTAATTAGACCTAAAAAAATTACTAATGCCCTTTTCAATTCTGCTAGAGAATCACTTAATCATTATTAATTGCACAGACAATACATATGAGTTGACTTCATTTATCGTTACGAATAAATATCTGCAACCTGAGAATACGTGCTTATCAGTCTCCGAATGCTTACTAACAATACACAGAATGTTATTAATCAACAATTATAACAATTTCCATAAGTGGTAGTGCCTTCGATGATGGTAATTCGAAAAAAAAATTCGCGATGAACCCATTTTTTGCTAGGGAAGGGCGGAAAAGTTAGAATTTTTTTCCAATGATGACAAAATCTCCAAAGTTTGCTGCAATCTTGTGATTTCCGGAATTGGTTAACTCCGACTAAAATGACCTGAACTTTTACTTAAAAAAACCACTACAATCTCACCCATCTGATAAAAAAAAATTTCAAATCTACACATAATATAATACACCGAAGGGAAAAACGGGAGCCCCATTTCAAATTTCCTGCAACGAGAGTGAAAGTAGGAAGGACATTTTGGTCTTCACACTTAGTGGGATTCGAACCATGACCATTTTAAGGAAAAGTAAGGATCATAACCAATCACACTAAGTACATTTGTTGCATCTTTTTAAATTAAAAAGATATAATAGCAGAGAGGAAAAAACCCTTCCCCCATTTCAAATTTCCTGCTCCAGGAGCGTTTGTAGGAATGATAGAATAGGGAGTGTCAATTTTTTCCTCTTTCCTCTGTGGAACGGGCCAACTTACCGTACACATGCGGATTTAAACGGGTTCAAGAGTGTCAGTTTTTTTATTAAGCCCTTTTATTTCTCTGTGGTGATAAAATATATATGAAGAGGCAAAAACAATACTTCTTTTTATTGCTAAAAATAAAAAATTTAACAATAAACTAATGCATGGTATCTAATAGGCTAACCATAAAATAAAAGAGTTGAATTGGTTTGACCTACACGGGATTTGGCCATCAAGTAAAACAAATGAACATCATTGGTTTGACATTCTAAAACAAGCTATTTTCTCTGGCATAATATATTATGCTATTATTTTATATCTTAGTGGCTAAAATATAATGTATTTTAAAGTTATTCAATGGTTCAACCTCGACCAACCCAATTAGTCCAATTTTTATCATTTCAAATATATATTATATAATTATTTGATATCATAATGATCAAATCATAGTGTATTTTATAGGGAATCGTTTGGTATTTGTTAGTAAAAAACTAAACAGAAAGATCTATTTGGTTATTTTAAACATTAAAACGATCCTAACATTTTCAGTTCCTTTTGAATTTCTATGGTTTTATTCCCGAATAAGTGATGTGCAAATGGCAGTCATCTCTTTTCTTTCACTATTTTTTATTTTCAAATAAAAAGTTTAAAAGTAAAGAATAATTAGAATTTGGCATGGGTCGGTCAAACAGGCTGCATTTCAAGTTTTGGCCCCTTTTGATCAAGTCTAATTTATAATCACATGGTTCCCTGATACCCGATAAAAATCTCAATCCAAACCAGTTTGGCAGGTGAGTCCGTGTTTACCACCATTTTCTAGGGATACGACAACGACGGTTCCTATCCCAAATCGTGTTGTTCGTTCTTTATTTCCTTAGATTTTATCATAGCCTGAAAAAAACCAGAAAGCACAATGACGACAAGATGAAAGTTTTATAAACCAAATTAATCGGCCAACGGGCCGAGTAAAAGCTAGCAACGATTGTGAGATGCTCATTTCCCGAAAACCGACGGGATATACGATTTTTTATTCGATTTTCTGGAATTCAGTTTCTATAAAACTTACTCCACCTAATCATATTACCAGAAACAATATTGTTTCACAAGGTAACAGGTACTTGATTTTGGTTCATAAGGCCAATTTTTGATTTGTTGCATCATTAATGTCTCTTTCCTGCTAAAATTCACTATTTTTATCACGTGTTTCCCAAAAAAACTATACAACAATAAGTTATACACCCCATTACATTATCAAATTTCATACCTCACCTTCCTCTAGGGATGAAAACAAAATCCGAACCCACGGGTACCCACGCTACCCAACTCGGTCAACGCAGGTAAAATCCGTGTTGACCGGTTTTGGGCCGGGTTTGGGTTTAAACCCGTTCAATATTCATCGGGTTGGGTTGGGTTTGGGTTTAGGTAAACCCGACCCATGGGTACCCGCCCACACCCATATAATTAATTTTCTCGATATATTTAATATTCTAAACAACTTATCTTATTTATGTTTGTGGAGACATGTCTAATTTTTCTTTCTAATTGTGTAGAATGAAGTTGATGTTATCGAGTGGAGAGTGAAGAAACTTAATTGAAAGGAAGAAGCTTTCAATTAATCATGTTATTTATGGATAATTTGTTATTTGCTTGAATTTTCTAGAATGGTATTTTATATATGGATAATTTTTATTGAGAGATTGATATTTGACTTTAATTTTGATAGCAACTTGTTATTGTAAATTTTTTAAGACAAAAACCTGTGGGTACCCATGAACCCGCGGATACCCAGGGGGTTGAGTTGGGTTGAGTTTTTCAAACCCAGTGGATTTTACCCCGAATTTTTTTCACGGATAAACCCATGAATTTGGATTTGAATTTGGCAAAACCCGACCCAACCCGACCCATTGCCATCCTACCTTCCTCCGGCCAACTGGCGGGGGCCCACACTAGTGTTTTACTAACCTGACGGTACTCCTTGTTTGTTACCCTTGTATTCATGAAGCGGCTTCGGGCTTCCTCGATTGGTAGGATGGTCGGTCATTTCCATTGGATCTGGGTTGAATACAAGGCAGAGAGAGACTAAGGTCATTGGGCCACGGCCCATAGCTCATTTCTGACCAAGTAGCCCAATACCAGATTTCCATTGGACCACAAAGATGTATTGCCCAGCTTAGCTATATATTTGTGAGGTACCAATGTCCGATAAGCAAGAAAATGAATTGTAATGTATTACTGAAAAAGTTAGTGGTACAAAATTTATACTAAAATTGTGATTTGGTTCAATCATTTCATATCTTTAAAATTTGCTTATTGATTTAGGTCCCGATATGATATTTTTCCGATCGGGCATCCGATACTTTTCACAAACAATGCTCTATAGTAAAATTTCTAAACGTTGGGATTCTATTTTATATAGATAGACTATCACTCTGAAGGTTGAATTTAGGGTGCTCAAATAGTTTTATTTTAAAGAGATATATTTTTTCTACCTGTACACTAAAACAAACACAAACTCTACCAAAAAACAAAAACAAAAACTCATTGCATCAGTGTGTATAATATTCATGCAAACTATTAATCTTATGGATTGTTCGCTTTAACACGATACTCTCTCAATCAAACTACCATTCAAGAAACTAAAAATCAAATCCAATTGACCCAAAATACTCCTTACCAACACTGCAACACACACCTACAAAAATATATGTTTTATTGTTTTTTCTTATTATGACTTAATCAATCCCTTCCACAAAATGATTTTAACAGTTCTATACAGGAAGTTTGAATAAA